AAATAAATAATTATTATCTTTATAAAAAATATTATATTATTAAATCAAATATAAATTACTTTGTTATTGTACATAAATTAAATTATAAAAAATTGAATTAAAAAATTACACAAAGAAATAAGGAATTTCAAATATAATTTGATACTAATATCGATATATTTTTATCAAAATTTTATGATATCTTCAAACATATATTTTATTCAAAAATAAAAATATCACCGCTTTCTAAAAATCACATAAAGCCATATTATAACATCGACCGAGATAAAAAATAAAATGAAATATTAAAATCACGATGCATCTCTCTGCATTGCGCGAGTACGCTTCTAGTATACATATAAACTATCAAAATATGCATCTGTCAGTTACTATATTCATCAATGAATGTATACTATATATGCACTAAAATTCATATATGCATATACTGGTTCTGAAAATATCTATGGTTCTTATTTAAACTCTCTTATATGTTGTATTCCTTGTATTGGACTCATTTTCTGGAAAATTTCTGTTCTTTTCGGTTTTGTCTACCGTGTGCTTATTGTGATATTCATGTTTTATCAACAGTGTCGGTTGGAAACGCCGAAGAGTGCAAAGCTTTTGATCAAAAGGCCTCCAAAGTGGATGAAAGGATCGGGAGCACTTCAAATGGCGTTAACGCGACTGCATCTTCGAGTGATCCTGAAGGTACATCCAAAGAGGGAAAGAAAGAGGATGTCGGTAGGACGAAGAAGCGTAAAATGATGAAGTATTTATGTTTTATGGCATTTTGAGTCATACAAGTAATGTATTAATAGAAAGAAGACACCATGAGGGATACAGATTGAATCCAGTTGGTGAAATGAGGTGGGGGTTTTTGATACTGATACTAAGAGGAAGAGAGTAGGGGTGGCAAGATTTTCATTTGTGTTGTAAATTAACATGTAAATAAGATTTTCATTAGTCGGCTCGCATAGCGGGTTGAATATCTAAGTTAATTAAAAAAAACATTTAAATAGAAGGGGGGGGGGGGGTGAGTGTGTAAATTGAGATGGAAAATTATCACTACATTTATAAAATAGTGACTTTTATTCACATATATTGGAAATTATCTCCCAGAGGTTTTATAGAAACAACTGCTCTATACAAATGGGTTGAAAAGGAAATTTAGCTTTCTATATTTATATACGACAAATACAACAAATAAACTCATATGTTTTTCTCACTTCTGAGAAGTGAGGTTGAACTCTTTGACCTCCTAAGAAGTCAATGTAACACCCTGAAATTCTCTTCCCCTCCGTCTCCAATCGCCTCTTTCGCGTCATGATTTCCTCTCGTTCCGTTACGAGGTATTCTTTTATTTTCTCATATTCTTGAATATATATATATATATATATATATATATAGTTTTTATAGCTGAAATTTAGCACTTTTAGTTGTGTATCTAGTCTAAATCTAAGGGAGATCCTTCACATTTACATTTACATTTTTATTTGTCTAAGGCTTGAGGTTAATTGAGGAAAAATAAAATAAAAAGGGGGGGGGGGTATTATCTGTGGTGCTATGACCCATACCCTATCCACCCATTCTTAGTTTGACACCTCATTTTGGTTTGGAAGTCCTTACCTGTTAGTGGGCTGTCATGAGAGGAATCAGAGAGGAAGCATGGCCTCAAACCCCATAACTCACTGCAACCACACGAAACCTCCGTTCTAGCTTCTTCCAAAAACATCTTTTGCACCATCGCCTCCTTCCCTGTGCTGCTGCTTACCGCGCCTCTAACCGTGTCCGCCGGCGCTCCGGCCATTGTTACAGCTCCGAATGCAACTGTTCCGTGCAGCCCCTTCTGTCCCCTCGCTCTTTCAAACAGCAGCAGCGGTGCTGTGAAGACAGCAGCTGCGGGGCTCGTCGTCCTCCACACCTCGGCACCAGCATCGTCGGCAGCAAACAGCAGCAGAAAACAGCAGCTCAACCGTGCTGTCCTGCTGTGTTTTCTTTTCCATCTTCGACAGCTAACTGCAGCAGCAGCAGCCTTACCCTCGTGCTCTCGTTCTCGACTGTCTAACGTCACCAGCGGATCCTGCACCTTTTCGAGTTTCCAGCAGCAGCAAGCAGCAGTTGCTGCTGTCTAGCTCATTCCCTTCGTCGCTTCCCGTCGCACACAGCAGCAGCAGGTTGCTGTGCTATTTCTGCGTTCTTCAGTCAGCAAAACAGTAACCGAGGGAAACTGTCCGGATCCTTGGGTTTTCCCTTTAAAACCTCCAAGGTGAGTTCAATTTATTCCGTCATGAATTGTTACTCTTCAAAGCACTATAGACTCGAATCCGATTCCTTAGCATGCTACAAGTATATCTCTAGTATAAAGTGTTATGGAAACTTAACTAGATGATAAGGAATTATTATTTGACTAAGGAATTTCAACTATGATGAGAGTTAATGTGAAAGCCTACTAGAGGGTCGTATTAAGACGAGCATAACTTGAAGAAAAGATTGTGTTTGGTGATGTTGTTTACAGGCTCTATCATGATTAGAAATTCTAAGACGATCTATGTTAGAGAACTCTATTACCCTTATGATATATGTCTGGTAATTGCTAATGATAGTAGTAGCATACTTTTTCTATTGGTGGACTCACGTTAAGTCACAGAGTTGGAATAATATTATAAGTATATGTATGCCTGATATTAACTATCCAGATAATTGATGGGAACGGGGTGAAGCTTTGTGTTCGAAAATTGTTTTATTCTATTTTGTGTGAGGGATGGTGTGAACTGGTGGTAGGCATTGTGATTATTATGTAACCTCCAAATCATCTTTTCATTACCACTCGGAAATAGGCATTGTGATTATTGTGTAATTTCCGAGATAAAGAACTTATGATCACGAATGACTAAATGACTGGATTAGGTTGATGTCGATGGTTTTAAACCTATAAGTGATGCTCTATAACGGTGATTTACGACTTACTTTGTGTTCGTCTTAATCAACGGTAAATCGGGCCTCCCCCGTCATCCTCGGATGTTTAACACCCCCCTGGCAATATTTTAATTTAGCTGTGTTCTTATAGTGCTTAAACTTGTGATATCTATATTTACAGGCTTCTCTGTTCTTTGCGAATTTAATTGAACTCATTAGGCGTAAGCCTAACACTTCTTTGGTATGACTTGTTTATCAGGTTCTTTTAGTAGCGGGGCCAAAACGGGTTGAGAGGAGCATTGGTTCGTGAAGAGGCTCTTTTGTAGTAATGCCTCGTTACTCTTGAGCGTTACGTTTGATGATACCGTATTTTTTGGAGATTGATAGAAACACCCGTCTATAATCTAGTTGTAGAAAAATCTAGATTAGTAGGTTGTTATTTATCTTCTCCGTAATCGTTTGTAAACGCCTTATTATTACCTTTTGTCAAATGTATACTTTATTCAAGTTCCGAGTCTCGTTAGAAACTTTTTTTTTGGTTGTTATTGCCTCATCTTTTAGCATGGGTGTTATAGTCAAAGGTTCGGATATTGTTAGACTAAATTCGGTTTGGAAAATCAAGTTGATCTTTGTGTGTTGAAATGGTGAACTCATGTTGGATGTGATAGTGAAATATGGTGTCAATCAAAGTATACTTTTATTATGTCATAAATGCATAGTTAAAATAGGAATTCTTGTCTTTCGTTTACCCTTACGTAACTGTCTCTATTATGCATGATATTTTCTAACTTGGTATAGTTCCAATCACCTAAAATCCAATGGCTACAAAATCGGGTTTTGACCGTTTGACTTCCTCCAAGTAGGGTGAAATAACCCTTTCAGCTCGGATCTTCACAACCCAGTTACCCGGAATTTCGTTATTATTCTACAAGAATACAATTGAACTGTACTAACTTCTTTTTCTGATGAAATACATACTTTGATCGACATTTGATGGAATTTGGAGAGCTTCATTTTCGTAACAACTTTGAAATAATGTTCCTTTATTTATGGGAAGAGAACTGAAATAATATTCTTTTATTTATGGGAAGAGAACGGAGATGCAGTCGATTAAGCAGCTGTAGGAGTTTATTTGGTATATGGTAAGACAAAGCGAGACATGACAAAACAAATATTTATAATTCCACATTTGGTGCGACGTTGGAATGAGATTTTAAGTAATATGCATTACTAATAAAAAAATATTTTTTAAGATTTTTTACCCTAAATGTTTTATAATATAGTATTAATATTGCATAGTTGAACAACAACTTTTAAATCAAGAAATATTTCAAACGTAAGAGTAAAATCGTTATTTCACTTGGTCAACACTTAATACAAAATATTTGATACAGAACAATTTTCGATCAACATTTATCTGAATCAGAACTCTTATCATAATTAGACTGACAGAATGATAGACTTTTTATCTTAGTCCGTACTCCATACTTGCAATTTTTTTTTTTGGTAAACGGGCTCAAACAGTATCAATCTGGGCCAAGATAAAGACTGGGCCTGGCTTAATTGTATGGTTATCTATTGGGCTGGATCACGTTTGGGTATTGTGGGTTGGTTGTAGATCCAAGTCAACAAGTTGGACTGTTGGAGTGATGTTTTTTTTGGGTTCAAAAATAGTAGCTCAAGAACATATATTTTCATATGCGATGAGCCCCTTGATCGTCGCTTATTAGGGCATAAATCGACGATCCACTTAAATAGAAAATCTTGAAACCGTATAAATCATGACTGTGAAACATCATGATTTTGAATATATAGACAATTGGCAAGTAAGCAACTATTAGTGACTTTCATCGTTTGTGCTACACGGTTATGTCATTGTCTGGTATGTTCTCCCTTATTCCCGGCATGCCATGGGCAGACCTATGAAGTTTCCGGCGGGTTCCATGCATATGTACAACCGATTTTCGCAAGTAGATTTTTTTTTTGTATAAAATGTGCATACAGTAAACTTTGATGGGTGTTCGGGGATATTAGAAAAAGATACAATGAACATTAACCAAAAAACTAAAAAGGTCTTTTGAAATCAACTAGAAAAATAGAAAAGTCTATTGAAATCAACCAAAAACCTTAAAAATCTCTCATAACAATGGAATTCGGCTAAAAACAAATTGGATGACTTATGAGCCTTTGATCTACTTTCAAGGTCCACCACTATTACATGTTTTTATGTTTGAATAATATATAAATTTGAATATCTCATAAATTTTTTTTATAAAATATGTCGATATAAGATATTAATATAAATTAACTATCTAAAAGTTAATGTGTTTTTGTATAATCTTTTTAATTCAATTTTTTATTGTAATTTAATTTAGATTTAATCAAGAAAGTAATTTATTTTCGGTTCAATAGTACTTGATGTTAAAAACTTAATAATTATCCTAATTATATTTAGATTTTTTATATTTAAAATAAAGTGTTTACTACGTATTTGATTATGTTTATCTACAGTTAGTTATACAAATTTAAAATTGAGCTTTAATAGATTGTACTTAAGTATAATTACTTGTAATCTTGAGTTTTAAATAACATGCATCAATAACATTACTTGATGCATAAAAAATAGCTTTTAAGAGTTTTTTTTTATCAAATATTTTATAATATAATATAGATATATAACACGAATTATTATAAAAAATTAGGATATTTATCACAAGAAAAATAACTTGCCTTAGTGCCCTAATTTATGAAAACAATAATTTTAACTATCATTTTATAGTAAATATAATAACTAAAAACAAGCATATATTAACTCCACTCAACAACTCCCACAAACTGAAGCAACATATTCTTAAAATTCAAAATAAATTTCTATATTAAATTATATTGCATGTTATCAAATAAATTTTTAGTAATAATTATCTAAATTTTACATAATTTAGTTGTATAATAAACACTATATGTTAAAAACATATGTCTCTTCAAATTAATATAAATAATTATTTATGTTCTTTTTAAACATACATATTTGTGAATATATGAACTCCACAAAAACTTAGCCCAAATAAACAAAACATGCCAAACTATTTCGATACTGTTGTCGTTTTATGTTTATACTGTATGCATAGAATCGTATAACAATATTCTTGTAAACGTTTTTTGTGTGCGTCTGTTTGTTATATT